TTGCAAAAATATTAGAGTTTGTGGCAGTGCTTTAAGCTCTGTAATGGTTCCTAGAAAATACATTGACCAGTCCCTTTCTTAAACACTGAAGATTTCATGACCAGTGTGTATATTTAATATTTTCAATTCAATCAAAAATTCAATAGATAGGTATCTATAATGTTGAGTGTATTATATATATCATAAATAGAAAATAGAGATAACAGTATAACCAATATCTATCATAAATATATATATATACAGGGTTACCCACAAAGGATGAGACTTTGATGAAACTCTTTGGATACAACGTTCTTAAGTTTGAATATTGTTTCTGCCTAAAATATATTTTTAATTTATATTAGAAGATTTGCATAGAAAAAAAGTTTACACTTGCAAGAAATCAAGAAATTAAGACTGAATAAATTCCGTACAGTCGTCTCTAAAGTCTCGTCTTTTGTGAGTAACCCTTTATTTACATTGTACACTGTACACAGTACACTGTATAGTACACTGAACACTGTACACTGTACACTGTACACTATACACAGTACACTGAACACTGTACACAATACACTGTACAGTACACTGAACACTGTACACAATACACTGTACAGTACACTGAACACTGTACAGTACATTGGAAAAGATCGGTCTAAGAAATGTTCAAATTTAGGTTACTCAAAAAAGATGAGACTTTTTAAATTATGTATTAAATTAATCCGAACAAAAACGTCACTCTCTCACACGCATAATGTCAAGTTGAGAAACAGGTTGAATTAAGTCTTATATCGAAAATAGGTCATTTTTATTCAATTCTTATCTAACACGTTTCTGATAGATTTCCTTGAAATGCTTTACAAAGACGACATTTTAAGTTTTTTTTGATAAAATCTCCGAATAAATTCATAAAAAATAAAGAATTCAAGAAAATGATAACGAAGTTAAAACTTTTACCATAAATAAAATCGATAATTTCTTCTCGGAAATATGTTCCTAAACAACTAAAGAACAAGGAAATCATATGAGAAAAATCTCCAGAATTATCCCGCCTCGGGATTTTTACAGAACAAGTTTTCTGTTTTATGAACTTTTCTGGGCCTCAAATAAATCCTGATATTATATTTTATAATACTGCACTCTCAGTTTAACTATTAGACCTAGCTAGTTTTACCTCCTTTACTGACGACTAGAAACTTATTAAAAATGACTGTTTTTCTATCTTCTGCATATATTGTTAAACCTAATGATTTAGCAAAGTTAATATGATAGTGTCCGCCGCGCACTCCGGAGTAATCAGAGTAAGATGCATTCGGTTTTCTCTATTTCAAATCAAATGCGCTTTGTTCTATAATTTAACAATCTTTAAAATTAGGGAGTTTTTGATTTAAACGCTAATGCCCACAGCAAACTAGTCAAGAAAAAAGGCGAAATATTTATGTTTAATAGGTCAAATTGTAATCGGAATAATAGGTCAAATTGTAATCGGAATAATAGGTCAAATTGTAATCGGAATAATAGGTCAAATTGTAATCGGAATAATAGGTCAAATTTTAATCGGAATAATAGGTCAAATTGTAATCGGAATAATAAGTCAAATTGTAATCGGAATAATAGGTCAAATTATGATCGAATGTCCCAGCTTTCTGGAATAAACACGGAACCGTTGAATCCACGTGCGCAGAGTAAAATATAACATACTAGGCTTTTAGGGAGTCACGGAAGTTCGTAGTAAGATTTTGACTCCACTGGAGACCACCGGAGGGAATTTTTTTTCACTGGAGGGGTTTGAAAAAATGCTTTTAACAATTCAAAACTTTACGCAGGGTGATTTACATTCCACTGGAGGGATTCAGTTATCCTTCCTAGGGGTTTAAAATTCCACTGGATGGATTCAGATATCTTTCCTAGGGGTTATAACTCCCCAGGAAGGACATCTGAATCCCTCCAGTGGAATGTAAATCACCCTACGTAAAGTTTTAAATTGTAAAAAGCATTTTTTGAAACCCCTCCAGTGAAAATAAAATCCCTCCGGTGGTCTCCAGTAGAATCGAAATCTTACTACGAACTTCTTTGAGTCGCTTTTAGGGCGCTTTCTTCTATTTAAATTGTGAACATGTTCTTTTTGTTTACATTTTAAAACAAAGAAGAAAAATTCGCGGATTTTCAAGAATTAAATTTTTTTTTACAAAATTAAAAACCTTTAAAACACATTTTTTAAAAATTTTATCATTCATAAACCTTCCCTGTGGTCACGTGATGTCCCACAAAAAATTTGGGCCCGATCGGTTCAGCCGTTTTGACGTTTATTGGATACAAACAAACAGACAGACAAGCCAAATTTATAGATAGATTCTACAAATCTCTTTGTGTTTCACATAAATTTGCTATATATTCAAACATTGACTTAACTTCACACACATATATATATATAACGAGTACCGACTTTCTGCTTTTTTACACCGATAAATGGATAAAAATATGCAGCATTTAACTAGAACGTACATAGTCAGTTATCTGCACATTGTACCAAGAAAAAAATCGGAGTCATTTCTCATGTTTTTTACATCAGAGGTAACCTTAAAAAGTACAAACTTATATCAATCAGACGCCGAATTTAAAGAATTTGAGCCGCGGCTTAAATTTAAGCCGCGGCTCAAATATGGTTGTTTCACTAGAAATGGTATTTAATTTTTCAAGATTTTAGCCGGTGCTCAATTGATACCGGTTTTTGGGAAAATTGAGACGCGGCTTGAATTTATTAAATTCGGCCTCAAGAATGTTATGTAGAAAACAAAATATTCAAAATGTATCTATCGACCATATACTGAGAGCTGTTAGCGACTGAAAGAGCAGTTTTTACCCTCTGCTTGTACTTAACCCATCATTTATAAGACAACATGAGTAGAATAAATAAATTATCAAACTTTTGTTTATATTTAGCATTTAAAATATAGATTTGAAAGCAGTAATTTAAATAAATTGAATGTTTTAAAGATACACGTTATAATGGGTTAAAATGTATCTTCTATATATCCTAAGACCATGATTTTAAAGCAGGATTTTTTTTATTACTAAAAATACTAAAACTAAAACTTTCTCATCAACATTCCTAAGTCCACGATTCAAGATGAATCTTTTAAACTCCAAAGTCCATGTTTAAAAAAATGTATCTTCTATATTCCTAAGTCCATGTTTCAAAAGTGAATTTCCTATATTAATAAGTCCATGGTTTAGAGATGCATATTCCATATTCATAAGTCCATGGTTTAGAGTTGCGTATTCTATATTCCTTAGTCCATGGTTTAGAGTTGCATATTCTATATTCCTAAGTCCATGGATTCAAGCTGCATCTTCAATGTCAAGGTCACAAATTTTCACGCTCTTTTAGCGCCTATAAACCTGTACTATACAGGGTGTACCAGAATATAAACCTGAATTATACAGGGTGTACCAGAATATAAACCTGTAGTGTACAGGGTGTACCAGAATATAAACCTGTACTATACAGGGTGTACCAGAATATAAACCTGTACCGTACAGGGTGTACCAGAATATAAACCTGTACTATACAGGGTGTACCAGAATATAACCTGTACTGTACAGGGTTTACCAGAATATAAACCTGTACTATACAGGGTGTACCAGAATATAAACCTGTACTGTACAGGGTGTACCAGAATATAAACCTGTACTGTACAGGGTGTACCAGAATATAAACCTGTACTGTAATGTAATCCAGTTGTATTTTCAATCTTCGTGTTTAGCTTAAAATCTGGAGCTCTTTAATCATAGGTTCAAGACATATATGTTTTAATCTTTATATGGTGTAACACAAAAAATGTCTAAGATGGATAATAGAAATTTCATGGACTGGACATCTCACCATAGACAAATCATTTCATGGACATGAACATTTATTAGACAGAACATTTCATGGACAGGAAATTTCATAGACAGAAAATTTCATGGACAGGACATTTATTAGACAGAACATTTCATGGACATGGACATTTATTAGACAGAACATTTCATGGACAGGACATTTCATAGACAGAACATTTCATGGACAGGACATTTCATAGACAGAACATTTCATGGACATGGACATTTATTAGACAGAAAATTTCATGTACATGGACATTTATTAGACAGAACATTTCATGGACAGGACATTTCATAGACAGAACATTTCATGGACAGGACAATTCATGGACAGGACATTTATTAGAAATCTTCTTCCATAAACTTTCCTTCTTAATATATTATGCAATTCAAATTTTACGACGTAAATATATATATTTTTCTCTGTCTATGCATTTTCTTATCATTGAAATGTCCTATATCTGCGTGATGTCAGACATTTTAAATGTCTATTCTATAATTTTGCAAGTGTATCCAAATAGGAAATGTCCTTCCTAAAATGACGTAATGTTCTAATACCCTTTATCCATTACAAAGTGTGGTTTTATCCTTGATAATATTTTTAACTAATGAATGTTTTAGACATTTTGAATTCTCCTATATGGAGTACTATAGACTCCAACGCTTTTGATCCCCATCAAAGATATTTTATTTTAACTTACCCGAAAAAAATTTTGTCATAAAATAATCTAAATCCCAAAATAATATTATTAAAATCCTAGCTCTTGTTGCTTGCAATTCTTATGAGATAAACTTCATTTATGCTAATCATGACAGCCCTAAACTTAATCCTAAACTTTAGATCGACGAATAAAAGATATTTTACAGTGTGCATATTGGCAACCTTTACACGAGAATTAAATATATTTTAACGGAAACATGATAAAAACAAAAATTAACAATTTTCTGAGCAAGTTTTATCTTGAACTAGATTCGTTGCAATATGATCTAGATCTAGACTAGTATTGGTTACATAGGACTAATCTCCGGGTATACCAGAATAGGGTCAAAACAAGTAAACTCTAGGTATACCAGAGTATAGGGTCAATACAGAGTAATTCTCTAGGTATACCAGAGTATAGGGTCAATANGGTATACCAGAGTATAAGGCAAATAAAGATGGTCAATAAAAAATCTCAAGGTATACCCGGAGCTCATGTTTAATATAGAACTTATCTCCAGGTATACTGGAGCAAGGGTAAGGCCATAAACTACGAATAAACACAGACAAAGCTGGACATAATTTATCTTTATAAACTATTGGAGACCTCGATCTTACGGTTACAGTTTAGTACATAGTAGAAAGAAGACACGTCCTACGATATCTGTGTTTGATAGTTAGTTCAGGGGTAAAGCTGTCTTTAATAATATAAATAAATGATAAATAAAAGAAATAAGATAAACAATAAAAATGTGTCATGACCGCAAATTTGATACAATGATCACATGGCACTGGTCCTGGGACACTTTAATCTTGTAGCGCCAGGATTACAAATATAAGCTTGGGACGGAATTAAACTTTCAGGTTCTCTCTTGTATTGAGAAGCTGAAGTGGCAGGTCTGCTCTGCTCATGGATAAAAGAGCTCTAAAGGCACTGAGATTAGACTCGGAGGAAGTATCAGCGGAAGATTCTACTTCCGAAGATGAATGGTCTGCGTCCATGTAAGGCGGGGGTGTTGTCTCGCCGTGTTTAACAACAATTTGTTCCAAAAGTTCTGTTTGACTGTTTGAAGGTTGTGTGTCTGGGGTTAAGGGTTCAGGATCTAGGGTCTCTGGGTTGCTGGGAGAACTGGGAGAAGGAAATGATTGTGGGTGAGCCGGAGTATTTAAATTTATCTGGAACTTTCTTTCATTCTTTTCCCAACCCTGCAGTAGAGAATCTAAAGATTCTGTGTTTAGATTAAAGTCGTTTGGGTTGATATTTCTTTTCTCCGTGTTATCTTTATGTTCAAGTTCAGGATCACCATTGAATTCAAATTCTTCGTCAACCTTGGTGCTGTGATGGAAGCCAATGGGTTCAGATTTGTCAAAGGGAAACTGACCCTTGTTTGCAAGCCTAGCTCTAATATTTGATTTTACTCTGGGTTGTCTGCCATCAGGTTTCACAAAAAACTTTTTACCTTGCTCTTCAGGTTGGGAGGGAGCTTTTTTAAACTCCACCCTTACGTTGGCATTAGGAGGCTGGCGTGCTTTTTGAACCCCTGGAAATCGTCTGAAACCAGTTGCCTCTGGTTGCGTCTCATCCTCTTCCTTTGAGTCTCCGCTAGGAATTTTGTTCAGTAGTTCTTCCTCCAGTAACAGTTCACTTTCGACAGATAAGACGGATGATTCTGTAACTTGCTCAGTGACAGGATTAACACTAGAAACAATGCCTTCAGTTGTGTACTCAGGTTCAGGTTCTCTCTCTTCCTTATTCAGGGGCTTTATTCTTCCTCCCTTCTCGGTCTTTAAACCGAGTTTGGGTCGGAAATTGAATGGAGATTTTCTGAGAGAAGAAATTTGGGTGGTAATCTCTTCCGCATCCTTCCTCGTGTCAGTTTCAATTGTTTCCAGGTTCTCAGATACAGGGCTTAATATGGCTTCTGTAGTAACATCAGATTGGGATTCAGTTTCAAAGTTTTCAGTTACAGTTGGTTCAGTTTCTGTTTCCGTTTGAACTTCAGTGGTTTCAACTTGTGCACCAGGCCTTTTTCTGTTAAAGAACGAATTAAAGCTTCCTTTAGCAGAAGCTGCAAATCTGTTGAATGGTTTAAATCTGGAGGAGAGCTCTGCTGGAGATTTGAACCTTGTTGCTATTGGTGGAGAAGAAGGGGTTGTTGTAGCTAACTCTAACTCTTCAGTTGAGATCTCTGTTTCAGAGATTTTAGCTGTATCATTCTCTTTATTTTCCACTAATGGTTTAGAGGCAAAAAAGCCTGGTTTAGCTCTTGAAGGAAATGTAAGGGGCCCAAGACCTCCTCTGATAGGAAAACTAGGAAAAGGTTTTTTACCCACTGTTGAAGATGTTGCTTGCTCAACAGTTGTTTCCTCTGATGCTCCAATAAAGATTTTGTTAGATTCTGTAGAAGTGACAAAAACAGGTTGATCCGGGGAAAGGAACTTTCTTGGTCCTAGATCAATATTGTTGCCAATGTTGGAAAAGCTTGGACGAGCGTTAGCCCTGAAAACCCCTGAGTCTGTGTCAAAGTTAGGACCAGGACTGGAGAAGAATCCAAATGACGGTGTTGGTGACCCCTTGAAAACAACAGAAGACACAGTTGAACTTGCAACTATCAAATCATCTTGTTCAAATATATCTTCAAAAAAGTCTTCTTCCTGTTTCAGGGGAGCTACTGTTGTCTCAGTTCTGACTGTGGGAACAAATGGTTCAGTTTCCTCATTATCTTCGAGCTCTTCTTCTTCTTTACTAGCTTCCATCTCATTGGATTCTTCATTTTCTTTCTCAACTTGATCTTCAATAAGATTTTGAGATTCAACCACCTTTTGTTTTCTTCCCTTCCTCACTTGCCTATTCCTTCCAAAAGCAGAGTTCGAGCTTGAACCAGCAGATTCTTGCCAAAAGTTCCTATTTCTTGCTCTAATATTAGATTTTACTCTGGGACTGTGACTCCTAGGTAGCCCGGTGGATGATGGACACCGGAAAGGATTATCACATTCCTCCTCAGAGATTAAATTGTTCTCCTTCTCATCAATCTTTTCAGCAAGCTTCTTCTTGTGCTGCCTTACATTGGAGTTAAACTGCGGTTTTTGCACACTCGGTAATTGATTTGACCTAATGCTATTAGCATCATCAGCAAACACCTCTTCTTCATTTTCCTCTATCTTTGCATCTTGTTTAAGATTCCAGGGTTTGGGCGTCTGTCCACGTTTTCTTTCAAACCTAGATGGACTAGGCCGGGATTTGAATCTATTGACTGGTGGTTGGAAGGGGGAAGTATCCTCCTCAATCTCATTAATATTCAAAGCAGCATCTAAACTATCTAAAGATGGTTCCACGCTATCAGAAATTGCATCGGTTAAGGACAAGAATGGTGTTTTAGTAATTCCGGTAAATGTGGGAGGTTTTACTGTTGGGCTAAAGAAAGGCTGGACAGTTGAAGCTGAGCCAAATAAATCTTCATCATATGGATTAGGGGATCCTCTGAATATAAAAGGTTGGGGGGAGGAGGGGGATCCAAACAGATCATTTCCAAATGGTTGAGGAGTAGGAGATCCCCTGAAAATGAATGGTTTGGGTGAAGATGGTGAAGCGAAGAATGTTTCTATGTAGGGTAGAACGGTCAAAGTCTCTGGCTTGTGTTGTGTTTCAGCCAACAGATCTGCCTTGACCCTTGGCTCACGTCCATCCGGTCTCACTTCGGGACCAATCTCGGGAAAGTATTCGGTTGTAGTTTCAGGAGCAAACAAATCAGCTTCCTCAAACCTAGGTGGTGTGGTATCTACCTCCAACTGGGTTTTGAACATAATCTGTACTTTTCTGTACTTTTCAGGAGCAAACAAATCAGCTTCCTCAAACCTAGGTGGTGTGGTATCTACCTCCAACTGGGTTTTGAACCTTCTCTTTTCAAACCCGGAAGTAAAAGATCTAAACTTTTTCCTTGATGCTGAATCCGAATTTGCAAAATTATTTCTACCTCCGAAGTTTCTCAGCTTGGCCTTTAGATTTGATTTTACTTTAGGCTTTCGTCCATCTTGGCCTAGCAGGGGAAAGCTTCTCTGTTGTTGAGCTGGCTGATCAAATGGAGAACTACTTTCATGAGACAAAGCTTTCAAGTTGCGTCCGCTAAGAAAGCCAGATGTAGATGGAGTCTGTCCGGGAGGTCGGATAGTTGTTGTGAAGCCAAGAGGAATAGGGGTTCCGGATCCAAATCCACTGTCCTAAAAAAAAATCATTAAGAAAAATAAAAAACAAAATTTTAAAAAGCAGAAAAATAAGGAAAAATTATAAGAATTTAAAGATTGAAGTTTTGGGATAAAAGGTTAGCCTCATCACAATTTTTTCCGTTGTTAAAATCCCAATACGTATACCGGAGGATTCAATTCCCCAAACTATACCGGAGGATTCAATTCCTCAAACTATACCGGAGGATCCAATTTCACAAACTATACCGGAGGATTCAATTCCACAAACTATACCGGAGGATCCAATTCCCCAAACTATACCGGAGGATTCAATTCCTCAAAATATACAAGAGGATCCAATTCCACAAACTATACTGGAGGATTCAATTCCTCAAAAATATACAAGAGGATCCAATTCCCCAAATTATACCGGAGGATCCAATTCCACAAATTATACCGGAGGATCCAATTCCCCAAACTATACCGGAGGATCCAATTCCACAAACTATACCGGAGGATCCAATTCCACAAATTATACCGGAGGATCCAATTCCACAAATTATACCGGAGGATCCAATTCCACAAACTATACCGGAGGATCCAATACCCCAAATTTACCGGAGGATCCAATTCCATAAACTATACGGGATGAACTAGTTCTCATGGAATACTATTTTTATCGACCACAAGTCTTATTGCCAGGAAGGGTTCCGACCTAATTTGTGATGGTGTCATATAGGTGTCAAATTAATCTTTTTTTTCGTAAAGCAACCTTAAAGAGACATCTTTTGGCAGAAAATTCAATAATCATAAAAGATAAAATAACTTGAGAACAAAAAATGAATGTTAAGAACTTCTAGCTATATTAAAGCATTTATTATTAGAAATAAAAAGTTTCAAAAGTTAAGTTGTAGATTTACAGTAGAGACGATGTAATTTCAAGTGACCCTGTCTACATGCATGATTCACAAGGATACCATAAACTTTGTCGGAGCAAAAATTATAAAGATATCCCAATTTTTTATCTAAAAATTGATATTATTAAACTACGGTTCTCTGGAAAAGTAACTTGCGGATTATCGAAGTTGAGACAAGACATAAAAAGTACAGAATTTATGTAGTTTCGAGATAGAAAAAGGCGTAATCTTTTATCATTGTTACTCAGATAAATGTAACAAGGGAATTAAATAGAATTACTAGTGTCCACTAGAAATTACATGTACAGTCCCTTTTCCTTCGTCTTTATCCAAAACTACTCTTGAGTTTATGTTCCACCAAAAATATTCTGACTAATCGCCAGATCATCCTCATAAATCAAAACTAGAGAAGGAACTATAGAGCTAAATATGTTTTCAACCAAACTACAAAGACAAAGTTTAGGATGACACAAATACGTGTAAACACCCCCCCCCCCCCCCCCCCCCAACCTAACCTATCCAATATGCAATAAGGAAGCTAGGTATAGTTCTGGGTATTGTATATGTTCTGCACTCTAGGGTGCCAAATCCTCTTCACACTGCAACCATCAGGCAAAACTAGAATAAAATTGACCCACAAACAAATATCTTTTTGTAAATCTCTTTTGCTTAATTCCTAAAACTTTTAGTCCAGAAAAAAATATTCTGAGTAAAAATACCTTACTCCTATACTTTCAATCTATCCTTTAGGCATATCTTTGCTACCTTTTTAGTTTGAAATGCCTTCGGGTTGCAAAAATATAAGGATTAAAAAATAAGAGTGTGTTGGGGAAAAAACACATTTATTTTTACAAAGTAAATTAAAACGGAAAGAATTGCTGACCCTAAGAGTGCTACATTTTCTCTTTCGTTTTTTGGGACTTGCTGTATCAAGGCATATTTATTTTCAAGCAGTTCTAAACTTCTGATGAATATGCTCTCAATATGTTTTCAGACCGTTTCTGCTTGGACAGCCTGTGTATTAAAGGAACCATAAAAAAGTGAATCTAAATGCATAAGACCTTGCAAAACGAAGATCGGCTTGACCTCCATTTAACCTTTATTTGACCTCCATTTAACCTTTATTTGACCTCCGAGCACTTATGGTTGAGGTTATCATATTTACGACTCATACAACTAGGCATTTTCTTCACATGCATCAAGTTAGTACTTTTCTGTACTTTATAATCTGTACTTTTCTGTACTTTATAATCTGTACTTTTCTGTACTTTATAATATGTACTTTTCTTTACTTTATAATCTGTACTTTTCTGTACTTTTCTGTACTTTAAACGTACAGAAGTATAAAAGTGACTTGTAGATTTATGCAATAAGAGTCAAAGAAAAAAAATCTGGATATACCCTTGTTTAGAGAACGGTTTAAAGGGTTAAACAATCCCTCTAATCTTGATATACCCTTGTTTAGAAAGTGGTTTAAAGGGTTAAACACTCCCTCTAATCTGGATATACCCTTGTTTAGAGAACGGTTTAAAGGGTTAACACTCCCTCTAATCTGGATATACCCTTGTTTAGAGATCGGTTTAAGGGGTTAAACAATCCCTCTAATCTGGATATACCCTTGTTTAGAGAACGGTTTAAAGGGGTTAAACACTCCCTCTAATCTGGATATACCCTTGTTTAGAGATCGGTTTAAGGGGTTAAACAATCCCTCTAATCTGGATATACCTTTGTTTAGAAAACGGTTTAAAGGGTGAAACAATCCCTCTAATCTGGATATACCCTTGTTTAGAGATCGGTTTAAAGGGTTAAACAATCCCTCTAATCTGGATATACCTTTGTTTAGAAAACGGTTTAAGGGGTTAAACACTCCCTCTAATATGGAAATACCCTTGTTTAATTAAGGGACCGTTCACTTATTTGGGTAATTTGAGGGTAAACTAAACAGCTTTTGATAGGTATTAGTCTTACTTTTCAAAGACAACTGTGGCCGGAGAAAAAGCCGATTTTTTGTTCATTTAGAAGTCAAAAGTAAATATAAAATGTTTGACTTTAAAAAAGAAACATGAATTTCTCCGACCTTTACCTGAATAGGCTGACGTCTGCTGACCTCCAGTTGGCCTCTGCCATTATTCCGTCCTCCAAGATCGCTAAAAAAAATATAAAATTCAAGGGAAAAAAAGACATTTAAAAAGATTTGCTATTTTACATTTTATTTTTTACTAAAAATCTTATTATTCATTTATCTATAGTCAAGATTTTTTTCTCTCGATATGTTTTAATTTTCTAAATAAACTATACACTTGCTACAAACTCCATTTTCCCATTCTTTTTTTTCAACCTGATGATGTAGACTAACTATGAAATATGCTACTAAGTCAAATAATCAAATTATATGATATTATAGGTTAAGTGCAGTTCCTTTAAAAACGATGAAAACCATGATGTGTAAATCAGTTTTTAGTGTTGGTTCGACTTTTTTCTTTAAAATCCATTGTTTTCATATTTTCTTATTGTGTTTTTTTATTTTAAGTTGTTCTACCTGTTGCTCCTGAATGCGTCCCTACGTCCTGCGCTGGCGTCCTCGTCCTTCTCCCTGGTGGAGTCCCCCCTGATCCCGAAATCGTTGGCGAAGAACTGCAAGGGCACCAGCTGTATTAATATGTACTATAAGCTAACTACTTAAAAGCAAGGGGTCCACAACAGAACCCTGGAGGACACCCTTTAAAACTTTTTCTGATTTTTAACGATTAAAGAGACTGTCCACGATGATTCAAGTGACCCTCCATTTAAAGATGGGCATGCCTGATTTTCCAGAACCCTTTGTCTGATAATTAATTTCGTCATTTTCCTCAATTGAGGAAAATCATTATTAAAAATAATCAATTTTCAAAGAGAAATACAAAGATGTCTCGTTCATTCTTGATCAGTCACTTGAAATTACGTACACAGTCCCTGTACGTACAGCGTACACAGTCCCTGTATGCTGTTTTATTTTTAGAATTAAAAGCCAGGGGTTCACAACAGAACACTGTAGGACTCCCTTTTTATCCATTTGTAAACTTTCATATTTAAACCATCAATTTGTTTTCTGTTGTTTTCACAATTAAAAGAATAAATATTTACAAATACAGGTTTTTGGTTCTCAACAAAAGATGAACTTTGCTCTTCTGTATAGTTTGCTAATTGGATTGGACGTGACTTGATATATGCTTGTATATGCTTGCATCTACTTCATGTCTGTAAGCATGCCGTGTCAGTTTGTGAAGATGACGGGGTGTCTCAATGTGTGAGGTGTGTGGTATTATTAAAGGGATTTGTGGAATTGTATTTAGGGGCGGGCAAAGTTTTTGAAATTAACAAGAAATTGACAGTTTTTGACCAAAAGAAGTGGACGTTAAAATTCCAAAGTTTTTCTAAAGTTTAGGCGGATAAAATTATAAGTTACAAAAATTAATAGTCGTTGCATCTTTATGAACAAATATTTTATTTCTAAATCTTTTATTGAAACCCATCCGCGTGCCCATATCTAGGATTCTGTTTTGTATTTTGAATGAAGGTTGATCCTCTTCAGCTGAATGAAACGTGCCCCCTTCATCCCACACTTGAGCCTATACACTTGAACTGATATGAAACCTTTCAAAATATTTAATTGTTGTAGGAGGAGGAGGTAGCCATGATGTGATGCTAAATATAGGGTGTCCTGGAAAAGGGGATTATTTACAATATGTCAAAAATAAAAATATGAAGAAAGAGACGACTCTTTAACAGTTTATTTATCTTCCGTGATTTTGCTACAAATCAGTTAATAGTAAAAAATCTAAAAATTAGGTTAATGTTGAATGAAAAAAAAACCAAATAGCTGAAACATATTTATGAACTATGTACATAAAATACAATTTCTCATATATGACCAGTGCAATTCAAATTTAAAATTAGAGACATTTTTTTTTTTTTATCTAAAACATTTATCATTTTAATCGCATTTTCTCTAATAAGTAATTTTTAGATTTATGCAGCAGTGATAAGGCAGAAAAGCAAAAGAAATTATCCTTTTTCAAAATATCTTCTCATTTTTATTCAAATATATGAAGAAAAAAGAGTTTATTTGTAATTATGTCAGCAGTCCCTTTATTGTAAAATGTGTTGTTCAGAAATTTTAAAAATTCTGAAAATTCTGAAGCAAAAATATTGCTAGAAAACATCAGAATTTCTTTGATTTATAAAAGTTTAGACAAATGCATTGTTCAGTATGATGTATGACCGTGTTTTATAATTTTTCCAATTGTCAACAACAATAAAAAATGAATTTTTAAGATTCTAAAGAACTAGTTTATCATAATATAAAAGTTTACAAAACGGATAGAGGAACCCATTTATATTGTTAGATTGTTTATTATTTAATTCTATTCTATTCTAGAAAATACTTCATATCTATTGTTTAACACATTTTTAAAGCTTGGATTTAATTAATGTTATAAATGCAATATGCCAATCAAAAAAGAAAATGGTGGTGGTTTATTGATTATTATCGGGGAAAAAAAATCATTTACCCAGCATGGCCAATAAACTTAATAGATAGTCCATAACATATAAAGTATTGTTTAGTAAGGATATATGGGTACTTTATTTATCTATAATCTTCACTGTTGAATTCTAATCTAACAAATTTGAAGGGTTTGATTCAAGGTTTTAACAAACCCAAGAAGATTAAAGGGACTGTAAACCCAAGAAGATTAAAGGGACTGTAAACCAAAGAAGATTAAACGTTAAAGATTAAAAGGACTGTAAACCCAAGAAGATTAAAGGGACTGTAAACCCAAGAAGATTAAAGGGACTGTAAACCCAAGAAGGTTAAAGGGACTGTAAACCCAAGAAGGTTAAAGGGACTTTAAACCCAAGAAGATTAAAGGGACTGTAAACCAAAGAAGATTAAACGTTAAAGATTAAAGGGACTGTAAACCCAAAAGGGACTGTAAACCCAAGAAGATTAAAGGGACTGTAAACCCAAGAAGGTTAAAGGGACTGTAAACCCAAAAAGGTTAAAGGGACTGTAAACCCAAAAAGGTTAAAGGGACTGTAAACGTAATTTCAAGTAATCCTCTGTTTAAAGAATGACATGTCCGATTTACAACAGTATCTAAAATAGCTTTGCCTGATTGATGCATTTGATGATATCCATCATCTTCTTTTTGAAAGTTGATTATTTTCAATTGTGGTTTCAATTGCGCATTTCAACTTAGAAACGACATACATGAAGTTCTCAGAAACGAAGATATCTTCCACATTATTGATCAGAAAAATGTTTGTGAATCAGGCAGCATGCCTCTTTATTTATAATTTGTAAGGTCACTGGAAAACAACTACAGTTCCTTTAAAGGCAAGGATTGACAAGAGAATTTGAGTATTTGTCACAAACTCTGATTTTCTCATCTCTATATCTTTTCTTCCCAATGTAAAGGAATTAGAAAATGTTGGTTATTGGCAAAGACTCAGTTCCACAATTTATTAACCCCAGGTAAAGATATCCTGATTAAAGAACCCGTGAACCTATCCTTGAAACTTTTGTTGTTAAATTTATTGTTAATTCTAAATCTAAATGTTGAACCTGAAGCGTGTTCTTAACATTAGCTTCATGGCTGTAAAAGGTTAGTTGGGTTTTATGTAAACATTAAAGTTATTGTTTTATTGTTTAGATAATAATGTTAGCGTACTGCATCCTGTATCATGTATCATATTTATTTATGCTATACAGTGAGACACATAAAACTGTGGAAAAGAAAGCAGCTCTAAGAATTAAAGTATGATTTTAAATAGGCCAAAAAAGTAGATTTTTGTCTACTGATAAAATAACGTCAAAAACATATACGAAATTGTATAAATGTCGTTTACATATTCCAAAGTGTTTTGGGTCCCACTGTTTGGTATGCTTTACAGTGCAAACCATATCTACATTTGGATGTAGAAATAGTACAACAAGCAATATATTTGGCATAAATATGGTATAAAATGTTTACAATGTTTTCAAATTTTATACAATTACAATAAATTATTTACAATTCATTGTTGAATTATAAAAATTAGAAAAAGGGTGTATCACTGTATACAATCTGTAATGGGTATGAAGGATGTCCAAAATCGTTAAAACTTTTTTTCTTCGTTTACAATAACGAGTTGAGTTTTTGCCACAAACTTTCATCCTTTTATATTTGGAACCAAATTTCATAAACCTTAAATATTTGAAACTATGAATTATGTTAGGAAAAATAATCTAATTTTGATAATGGTTTACACTACCAGGTTGCAAATATATAAGGATTAGAAAATTTGAATTTGTGTCAAAGATTTATTTCCTTTGCAGTAAGACATCTGAAGACAATAAAAGAATGTGGTTCTGAGAAGAGTCCTAAATTCTTATAGAAACGACACCATCACATTCTACTAAATCAATTCTCAAAATCCAATCATAATATTGGCCGCTTTTTTACTTAAAGAGACTGTAAGCGTTATTTACGTGAACCTCCATACAAATATGACAATGCCCTATTCACAGCGGTACCCAGAAATTACTCTTAAAGGATTCTAAACTCAAAAGTAATAAAAATTGGACCTGGAAGGCAAACCTGTGAATCTTTTTTTAAGACACTTATTTAACCATAAATAGTGGGACACCCTGTGAAAGGGTGTATCTATGAGGTGTATACCCTAGTGGTGAATGAAAGACCTGTATAATATCATACATCAAGTAGAAGAAAGAAGTTCAATATGTCAATATAATAGAGGGTTAAACGGGAAGGGAGTAAAGAATTAGGAAGATAAAGGAGAAAGAATAAGGAAGATAAAGGGAAAAGAATAAGGAAGATAAAGGGTAAAGAATAAAGAAGATAAAGGGTAAAGAATAAGAAAGATAAAGGGGAAAGAATAAGGAAGATAAAGGGGAAATAACAAGGAAGATTAAGGGAAAAGAATAAGGAAGATAAAGGGGAAATTTCAAGGAAGATAAAGAGAAAAGAATTAGTAATATAAAGGGGAAATAATAAGGAAGATAAAGGGTAAAGAATAAGGAAGATAAAGGGTAAAGAATAAGGAAGATAAAGGGGAAAGAATAAGGAAGATAAAGGGTAAAGAATAAGGAAGATAAAGGGGGAAGAATAAGGAAGATAAAGGGTAAAGAATAAGAAAGATAAAGGGGAAAGAATTATGAAGATAAAGAGTAAACAATAAGGAAGATAAAGAATTAGGAAGATAAAGGAGAAAGAATAAGGAAGATAAAGGGAAAAGAATAAGGAAGATAAAGGGTAAAGAATAAAGAAGATAAAGGATAAAGAATAAGGAAGATAAAGGGGAAAGAATAAGGAAGATAAAGGGGAAATAACAAGGAAGATAAAGGGAAAAGAATAAGTAATATAAAGGGGAAAGAATAAGGAAGATAAAGGGTAAAGAATAGGGAAGATAAAGGGGAAGAGATGAGGAAGATAAAGGGAAAAGAATAAGTAATATAAAGGGGAAAGAATAAGGAAGATAAAGGGGAAAGAATAAGGAAGATAAAGGTTAAAGAATAAGGAAGATAAAGGGGAAATAACAAGGAATAGAAAGGGAAAAAAATAAGTAATATAAAGGGGAACTAATAAGGAAGATAAAGGGGAAAGAATAAGGAAGATAAAGGGGAAATAATAAGAAAGATAAAGGGTAAAGAATAAGGAAGATAAAGGGGAAAGAGATTATAAAATAAAATAAAGTCTTGGCTAGACCATTTAAAAAAAGTTACAGGTTAAACCGTGTTATTAAATCATTTAGAAGCTACAGATACCAACAAAGGATGAGACTTCAGGGACGACTGTACGAAATATATTATTTTTTCATACATCGATAGTTTCGTGCAACGGTGCAACTGTATACTTGTTTCATTCTATGACAAATCATTAATAATACCTGTAGAGCATATTTAACACATTTTCCTTGTGTTTTAGGTGGTCATTAAAGTCTTATTATTTGTTGTTAACCCTGTAGGTTCTGACCCTCGTATTCTGACCCTTGTATGCTATAACTTGAAAACTGAGCATTGAGCAAACTACTTGGTGAGATGGCCTTTGTATTCAATACTTTACGTTGCAAAGAAAGAGAAAAGATTTAAAGCTAAGGAATGAAGGGATGGGGGGAGATCAAGAGGGATGGGGAAGTTTCGGAAGGTATGCATTTTTATTTTTATGAGTTGAGAGCTATCAACAAAACATTTAGAGGCTCAGAAAAAAAAGATAAGAATGATAAAAGAAAGATTTGCATTTTAAGTAGAGATGTGCACACGTAGTGCGCACGAATTATACTGTTTGGTAACAAATAAAACATAAAAGAACGTTTTAACAGGGTTATCTACAAAGGATAAGACTTTAGATAGAACATCACAATTAATCTTCATACTTCATACAAATTATTCTTTTAATTAAAATATTATATTTAAAATAAGATATTTAATGAAAATGTTTGCAAATTTGCAGGGTGTAAAGTCTCTTATAATGTGGGGGGTAATCCGCAAATAAAAATTTTGAAAGTTGACAAAAATATTTTTTATGAAACTATTGTGTACTTTATCATTCTTTCTCACTCCATCGGGAATTTTATAATAAACGTGCTATAAAGTATAAATCATCGTAGTATAAAGTTAAATTAGCTGTACATTATAGCACGTGTGCTGTAAAGTTTTAATTGGTTCCCGGATTTTCTCCAAAAAATTTAGGATATTTCCAAAATAATTTTTTCTATTGAAATGAAAATAAAAAAATTGAAACCAACTGTATATTTTGACTTCTGCCTTGTTTCAAAGCTTATTTGATCTAGAAATAACCATTGAAATAAAACCAAACGTTTTATAAAATTGCCTGTAAGACTATTATTTTGGCACGACGTACGTGCTATAAAGATTTTGGACTTAAATTTTCTCTATATCTTGAAGGTTCTTGCCTTCTAGATTATATTAATAAATCTGAAAAGCCTTGAACCTTCTCAATAAAGAGAAAATTTCTGTCCAAAAACTTTCTAACGCTGCGAACCAAAATAACAGTGTTATAAATAGTTATAAAATGTTCGATTTTTCTCTCAAACTTTATTTATATAATTTTTAATTGTTTTCGAAAACATTACAAGAAGGTTTATGTACGGATGGTGGGGGGGGGAAACATAACAAAAAGGTTTATGTACGGATGGTGGGGAGGATGGGGGGGAAACATAACAAAAAGGTTTATGTACGAAAGGTGGGGGAGGAGGGGGGGTAGGGATGGTATTGTATTGAGTACTGGTTCAAATAGTGGGGAATTAATGGGGCAAGAGAGAGGGTGAGAAAGATGCAGTTCCGTGTATTGAGTTCCGGGAGTTGAGGAAGATTGCAATTTAAATATATTTGACGGAATAACCACATAAATATTCTAGGATATATCACAGAATTTACTGCAGTTTAAGGGCCCTTTCAGGAATTTAATGGAGACTTTAAAACCCCTTTCAAGGGTCCTAAAATCCCCCTCGCAACTCTGGCTGTAATTAAACCCGCATCTCAATCGTTAAACAGACATTTTGCATAATTATACTAATCCTAATTGAGCATCAGTCAAGGTTTATAGAAGCTTGATGATGTTTTTACAGTCGTCTTTGTTTAATGCTTATCAAGATGCGCAAATGCATCGGTGAAATCTTAACAAGCAATCTAAAAGTAATTTTGAGTAAACATACATTATCCTAGCAGCAGGCTATGATAAGGAATAAAAGATTTTTCAAAACAGGATTTGAACTTCAAAAATAACACAGATGTACAACAAACAGGATATAGTTGTACAACAAACATGATGATGTAGTTGTACACGGACTAAACAAGATATACAGTTGTAAACCAAACAGGATTCAGTTGTACACTTTAAAGGATACTTTAAATTGGCTATAGCTATACACTTTTAAGTTTACATGATACATTATAAAGAATGCAGTACCGTACAAGAGTACAATCCTACCTCCAACTGAGCATGGCAGTCCACTTCAAACCAGTTTGTACAAACCAGATGCTGCTGATCGAATACTGTATCATTGGGACACAGAAAATGGAAATCCTGGAACTGAAAATAAATAAAAATTATAAATATTATTTTATCTTAAAGTTAATGTTAAATTCATAAAAGAAGGTGAATTCGGTGAATAATGTATACTGCTTTTTCAACTCTTAAAACTATTATATCTAAAATTAATCCGATTGTATTTTGATAGCGAAAAAAAACGATGAAATTTTGGGTTTTCAACCATGTTTCTATTAAAAGCCCTGTCATTGGAATCGTAAAATAAGGTGTATTGCCTTTTTAAAGCAGTTAGTCACTTATTCAAACTAAATTCAACCCAAATCCATCTGTTCAAAGTTTGCTACATAGTACATATATATCCAAATTTAGACGGATAATTTTTTCTTAAACATTTTTATTTCTTCTTTTTAAGTTTTAAAACAAAAGATAAGTTTACAATGAATTTGACAAGAACTTTATCTTACAATTGATGGACACTTTTATTCATCCTAAAAAAGAACAAAGAATTTTATTCTTTGTTTTTATTCATAATCCCGGAACATATTCTTTAGTTATGTCAGGATAATTATAAACCAATCTCAGGGTTAATAACAGACAAAACTGATAAGATCAAAACAGTTAAATCTTATTCATTCCAAACATAATTTTGATTTTAAATTATTTTTAACTTGAATTTGTAAATCTTTTTAAATCCAATTAAAACTTTACTGCAGTTGAATTTTACAGAAAATGTCTTAATTGACAAACTTTAACATTAAGAATTAAAAATAGTTTGTTTATGAAAATCTCAAAATTTTTCTGTACATTTTTTTTTGAAATATGAAACTAAAAAAAACAGTTCCATGTTTGTCAAAAGACTGAAAAAATATTTTTCATGAAGAGCGATAAAAAATGAGAGAAATATAAACGCACATCTTTGTTAGAAAGAAATGCAAAGAGGTTTTCTTGCGTATCGATGCAAAGTGTCGATTTTATATCATGAAAATGTCAATTTCCTTTTTAGACTTTAATGATCAAATCCGCAAATCCCTTTAATAGTTAAACTGAAATAGATAATTATTAATTTTCAATTAGAAGAACAAGGATATTTCCATCGTTTTTAACTTCACAAAATTGTAAAAGTTACCGATGTAACATTCAAATATTTGGGGGATATATTTATTATAACAACACGGTTCCATTAAAATCACAAGAATACATAGTTTGCAACTTAGTGCAAAAGAATTGCAGATATACCCCTACGGGATACGGATCATGACGTTGTAATTTTAAATTGTATTACAAAAGATTAAATAGGAACTCTACAAGAACAATTACAAGGATTCAAAAATACAGAGTGTCCTTAAAAAACGCGGTCATTGAGTGACGATTTCACGATCGTCTTTTTAAAGGATTGTTGTCTTAGAATGCATGATGCATGATGCATGATGCATGATGTCTAAAACGAAAGTGAAAAATGAAAAAACTCCTGTATTTAAACAAATTACAGTTTTCTGTTTTCACTTTTTAACCGTTTACATAAAATATACTCCAGCAGACGTAGCTTTATCAAAACTTGAAATTAGGTATTGCAATTCTCAAAAAAGACGATCTACCAATAGTCCCTCGATTCGCACTTTTTTGGGACACCCTGTATATTAAATGCGGAAGAGGATTTATAAATTTATAAATTACCCCCTTCAGCAGTCCATTGTATTTACGAAGAGTAACAAAGCTAGGCATTTTAAATCCTTTTATTTCTTATGATTGTAATCAAATATTACTAATGGGGTCGACGTATACTTTACTTAGATCCTAAGTTTTGGAATTTCCACTTAGGTTCAGAAAGATTCAAAAATTTCGGTTAAAATAATCGTTGTTTTGTTGCTAGAAAAGTCGGATTTTTTTGGTTCGAAGATTGTAAATATATTTTTATGTATTTTGTCAAACATAAGATAAAATGTATAATCGTTTTTGAAAATTAAGAATACTTAATTCAGAAGTTTAGTGTTAGGCTTTTTAGCGAGAATGATTCATATATATATATTTATGAAGTTAATAAAGGCTCATTCTTAGAGTTGTAACAGTTACAAACTTTCGAATCAAGAAAGTAAAAAAAAAGACGACTTTCATTAAATTTTTCCAGTGTGGGAGGTCTGGTTGCTGGGATTTATGGAAGGTCAAGAATAAAGGCTCATTAGAGTTGTAACAGTTACATGTTGTAACAGTTACAAACTTTCGAATCAAGAAAGTTAAAAAAAAAGACGACTTTCATTAAATTTTTCCAGTGTGGGAGGTCTGGTTGCTGGGATTTATGGAAGGTCAAGGAAAAAGGGTCAATATCGTATCTAGGCATAATTACAGCCAGCAGAGAGGTATGAAGATACGTTAAAAAATAAGCTTTATGCTCACAGACGTACAGGGTGCTCATAAAAGTTTGAATTATATTCTAAAATTTTTTTTTCAAAGTACCAAAATTTCCATCCAAATTCTCAATGACTCACTAAAATTCCTGTAATCTAGTTACAATTTAAAGTGCATGTCCACCTAACTTCAAGTTGCCCTCAATGTAGAGAATTACGTGTCCAATTTCCAATGGTACCCTTAAGGGAGGGAGAAGGGAGGGGGTAGCTAATAGTTATACATTGAGGGGGTATACCTAAAGAGAGAGGGGGGTAGCTGATAAATATATCATGAAGGGGTATACCTTGAGGAGGTGGGGGTAGCTGATAAATATATCATGAAGGGGTATACCTTGCGGAGGGGGGTTGCTAATAATTATTTCATGTAGGGGTATACCTTGAGGGGGGGGGGGTAGCTGATAAATATATCATGAAGGGGTATACCTTGAGGGGGGCGTAGCTGATAAATATACCATGAAGGGGTTTACCTTGAGGAGGTGGGGGTAGCTGATAAATATATCATGAAGGGGTATACCTTGACAGCTGATATGACATGAACACAAGGATAAATTACAGTGTATAGTTGAGCACTTGAAGTGTAATAAATATAGTAACGTGTAGATATCATCTTCGTTCTTCAACAAGAGAAGATGAGAAGTGGAAAATAAAATGAAATGATACAAAGATGGATCCCATTCATGTATAAATAATTCATTATGTATTAATCATATATATACCCAGGGGGGGGAGGTGATAAATCCCCTTCACTCATAAGAGAAAATTATGATTTCTAGGGGGTTGTTTTGTTCTCGCCCCCCCCTTTGAAAAATTCTTTAACCTAAAAATGATTTGATAAAGCGGTAATTATGAAATCATAACAAAAAATGGTCAAAGCTTGTTTATTTTTTAAAAATTGTGACCTAATTTGATGTAATCGGTGTAATCACATGGACCCAACTTTAATATGCTGATCAAAGGTGACAGGCGACAAAATGCTGTTAAAAAATGCAATTGCACATATTTTAAATATTTCACATGCAATTCATAAAATTTGCTGTATAAGACAACATTTTGCATTTTTTTGTTTGATTTTTTTCTGAAAATATAGTTATCAACTTAAACTGGTATTTTTGGGAAGGTGAAAAAGTTAAGATGACTTTAAAAATGGATAAAATATGTATCATCATACTTATTTACAAAGTGAATTATGAGAAGAATTTGAAAGGACGGGCGTGAAATGATAAATTGAATAAATTAGATATTTCATGAATTCAATTTTTAAATTTAGTTAACTCATGATGCCATATATACCTCCCATACCGTAGGATAGGATCAGGATAGGATCAGGATAGGATCAGGATAGGATCAGGAACCCCCTCCTCCCCATAACATATTTGAGCCTTGAACCTACCATATTCTAACCCCCAAAATAACTAACCAAGTAATCAATTAGAATGAATCAGACAAGCGTGTTCAAGTTCTCAGCTACCACTAGATGCGCCGTTCAGGTCTCTTCAATCAGATTCCACATTTTCCTTATTTCTTCTCTTTAATCTTTCTTTTACTTCGTTTACTCCCATTTTTGGATCATTTATATTATTTCCTATATCATACATTTACATTAATTCCCTTCATGTTGATCTTCCTATCCTTGATCATTTATCCTAATTCCCATCTATATATAAATTTTGCTTTGGATCATGAATCCCAATTCCCAATTTATATAATTTACATTCATTCTCTTCATGTTGATCTTCTCATCCTTAATCATTTATCCTAATTCCCATCTATATATAAATTTGGCTTGTCTGTCTGTTTGTTTGTCTGTCCATTTGTTTGTATCCAATAAACGTCAAAACGGCTGAACCGATCAGGCCAAAATTTTTTGTGTGACATCACGTGACCACAGGGAAGGTTTATGAATGATAAAAATTTAAAAAAAATGTGTTTTAAAGGTTTTTAATTTTGTAAAAAAATTTAAATTCTTGAAAATCATATATCATAGTATCATATATTTACATTCATTCCCTTCATGTTGATCTTCTTATCCTTGATCATTTATCCCAATTCCCATTTCATATAATTTACATTAATTCCCTTCATGTGAATCTTCTCATCCTTATATTCCTAATCGCTTTTACATTTTTCCCCCACATCTGTCCCTAATCTTTTTATTCTATTCTCTGTTTATACAATTAGTTTTTATTTCCCACATTCCCTTTATCCCTATCCCTATCCCCCTTTACCTTCCTCCCGCTCCCTCTTTTTACTATTCCCCCCCCCCTGTCTGAAACCACCCGTTCCGGGTGTATCAATGACGCTATAAATAGGTTTGATAAGACCTAAGATTACCCTTCCTATATATAGCATTATTGGGAGGCATAAAGTTAAGAGTCTAGTATAAAAAGATGCGCCTACATATAAACACATGTGAGATAGGCTCGAATATACACACCACAGGGTGACTTAAAAAGGGCTGTTTTATACAAATTTACATCATTCATGTAGGATTCTGCTTCAATATCCCCTAATTGTTATGTTTTCATAAAATAAAACACCATTTTTTTTTCTGGGACACCCTTTATGTACATATTTGGTTAAACGGGATGTGCGTGAGGTATCTGGTAAATTTTGACGCATTTCCATAGACGTGCAAGAAGAGATGGGGGGGGGGGTGCTTAACATATTTGTATATTTTAACAAGCCCTAAATACGGTTCGTGTGCATGTTTATTGGGCAGTTTGTGGTGTTTGGATAAATGGATGTTAATTTGGGTAAAGTTTATAAATTTGGGTTTATGGTTGAATACAAATAGGTTTCCTTTCATTACAACATGCCTTTATATACCTTATTAGTAATGTTTACTATCGGTATTTTGGCACATTTGGTTGAGAACAGGACGGTTTCAGTTTTCTTCTCAATAATGGAAGTTGAACCTTCAATTTGTACTTTAATAGATAGTTTATGTTGATTTGTACTTTTCTAAAATAACCCTCCTTAAATTGATCTTTAAGAGCCAATTACACCAAAAAAAAACAAGGTATTAAGTTTAATGGGTAAACATTAAAAAGGCCAATTATAAAGACAATATGGATGAAAATTAAATGGGGTAAAAGCTTCAAATAGCTCTAATTGGATTTCGATTGTGGTTCTCAGTGCAATGATCTTTCTATAAAAAGACGATTGTATAAAGTATATTAAACTAAGACTAAATAAATGCTAAATCTTAAATCTTTGAATTTTCAAATGTCAACTGATTAAAAATTGCCAATTAAATTCTTCATACTTATATTAATGTCAAAATATTATTGTTTTTCATTTTAAAATATGTCGTTCAAAATTTTGAAGATAAGAAACGTGCTTCGTTCTGCTTCAAACCTTTGACATCTATTCTCCGTAAATATAGTGATGACATTTAGTTTATATCGGTCCTTGCCATGAAAACTAAGGAAATAAAATATTCGAAACAAAACGGGTTTTAGTTATTGCAAAAAGTTTTTAAAAAGTTTACAAATTACATTTCTGTTTTTCACTTCCCAACTTTTTATTTGTGATTAATTATGTATATGGTGGCTAATTGTCCAACTTAATGTTAGTTTTAAACTATTTCAATTTTTGAGCTGGCAACTTTTGAAAAGGCCCAATTTTAATCTCTTCGGTTATGAGAAATCGTTTATTCTGGTGCGAGGAGAGAAAGAGTTTAACTCATTCCGTCGATTAAAAAAATTTTAATCTTGATTACTCGCCTCATAGTCGGAGACCTGAACGCAAACATGAAACAGTTGACAGTGCGCCTCGAGATCTGCGTAGTAGCCGCCGGTCACTTTATCCTCACATGTAAACCCGGTTTCTGGTAAATCATCCGGATTTAGATTCGGCGGCCGCAGCTGACTGTACACTGGGACAAACGTACACAAACCTGAAAAAATTGATTATTTATTCATCATAAAAGTTTTAAAATTCATTGATTTAACTTTTTAAACTTTAGTTTAACTTTGGATTAGTTGCGATAATTAATTTTTCTATGTTTACATTTTACAAAATACTGGTAATAATTTAAATCTATATATATATATATATAAATCAATGAGGGGGTATACCTAAAGAGAGGGGGGGGTAGCTGATAAATATACCATGAAGGGGTATACCTTGAAAAAATGCATTGGATGAAGATATAAGACGGAAACGGAAAAGTTAGGAAAATCGCAAAAAAACTAAATATTTTGCGAAATTTTGACAGATTTGCAGACGTTTGATCGAAATATGTTAACATACAAATACGGATCAGGATTTTTTTTCACTTCAACTTCAACTTCAACTTAATGCTGTATGATACTATAATGGTTTTTATGATTCAGGCAATGGTAGGATTTAATTTTCGAACATTGTAAAATTTAATTAATTAATTAATTTAAATTTTATAAAATCTTGGTTTACAATATTAGTTTCTTGGTCTGTAATTTATAATCTATAAACTATTTTTGAATAGTTAATTTTGTTAATTAAAATTCAAATTTATTAAATGAATCTTTTTGGAATAGGCGTTATATTCTAAACACTTAATTTAAGGTTTTTTATTATTCAGTTTGTTAGTTTTTTACTCCGACTAATGACTAAAAATATCTTGATGAATAAGAAGATTTAAATAATTTTTTCTCTGTTGTATAATTAATCTCCATCCTATGCAGAATTAGGGATTAATTTAATTCTTTCCGATATCCCGTGATCCTCAAAGTACCCACATTGGATATCGAGATTAAGCATTCAAAATTAGAAATTTCTACACAAACAATGGTAAAAAAGGAGCAATTTGGAACTTATCGGTTAATTGTAAGTTGTTTTTTACCTTACTTTAAATGTATACATGAACAAATAAGAAAAAGAATGTTCGAGAATTGCCGGATTTTGTAAAGTAATTCCCGCAGATTTCAAGATTTTTCTAAGAGAAAATATACGAATTATAAACAAATTGTAAACTTTAATTTACGACATCGCACACAGCGCACATGCCGTGTACCGATTCTGGGCATTTCTATTCCTCTCCAGGTGTCCTATAGGTAATTTACAACTGGTTGTAAAACAGTTTTCAGTAGCAGTTAAAATCCATCATTTTTGAACGAAAAATAAATACCCGGCCAAGCTTTGAAGGGGGATTCGCAAAAAATACGCAAAGAATACTTTTCTATTTTGAAAAACACACGCAGGCAGCTATGTAGAGGAGTAGGGATGTTAACATTTTCATTTTTCAGAAAAACGATCGTTTCGTTATGACAAACGACGACAAAAATCGAAACAAAACGATCGTTTTTAAAAATGATTGTTTTTTTTAAAAAGCTCGTTTTTTAAAATGGTAATTTTTAAAACGATAGTTTTTCAAAACGCTCGTTTTTAAAAACGATCGTTTTTAAAAACGTTCGTTTTGATAAAATTCGTCGTTTCGTTAACGATCGTAAACAACGACTCTTTGTTAACGATCGTTTACGACAACCTTCGTTAACGATCGTTAACGACGACCCCTTCGTTAACGATCGTTAATGAAGAGAGGAAACCGACCTGAAGGGCATCTGTACTTATCATTGAGTAGTTTTTAAGAAAATATCAAGGAGTTTTAACTCCCCTACAACTGTTAAACTTCATGTAAGACGACATTCAATAAAGTTGCATGTATTTTTTTTTCCAAAACGACGGTTTTTATAAAGTTCGTCGTTTCGTCAACGATCGTTAACGACAACCCTTCGTTAACGATCGTTAACGACGACCCTTCGTTAACGATCGTTAACGACGACCCTTCGTTGACGATCGTTAACATAATTGTCAATAACTTTTTTTTAAAAACGATAGTTTTTTTTAAAACAATCGTATAAAAAACGGTCGCAAATCGTTTTAATAAAAACGACCGTTTTCAAAAACGATCGCTATTCGTTTTCTAAAAGTTCAAAACGAGTGGGTCGTTTTTAAAAACGATCGTTTTTTTCCGAAAACGAAACGATCGTTTTTGAAAACGAAACAAAAAACGATCGTTTAACGATCGTTTACAAAAACGATTAACAACCCTATAGAGGAGGGGGAGGAGTAAATGTAAACTGTAAGTTGCGACATTTCCTTACATATAAAAAGCTATTTCCATCCCACCCCCCTGGCTAATATCATTTAAAATCATCCTTATGAAAAAGGAAACAAAATCTAGCTGAATAATTTACGGACAGATTTTATCTCGGCACCCAGTTGAGTTATAAATCATGTGTGAAACCTCCACCATCCTTCTATATAACCTTATACAGTCAGATCATTACAGCTAGTTAATGATTTCTAGGTGGGTTGTTAGCAGAGCCCTACAGGGCGTAAAAAAAACTATAGCAAAATATATTGTAAAAAAATGAACAAACGGCGCTAGTTTTTTCAGAAAGCTTTAATTAAGCTAATTTATAATATAAGTTTTATTTCTTCAGATTTTTGGGACACATAGTATAGGAGAACCTTATCCGACTTGTATCATCCTTATCAATCCACGTATTTGATCTTCTGACCTGACCAAAAATGTTCTAGCTCCGTATACCCCTGGATACTCTGGATAATTCACAGAAATTGATTTCTCCATGTGTGCTCATTTATACAGGGATGGGAAGATTTGATTAATAAGGTCCTTTACTAGATGTACAACGACGAAGGTGGGAAATTATGGCATGACAGGAGCAGGGAGGTATTCCATGAAGATTAAATTAAAAGTTTTCTGTCGAGGTTTCATGAGAGGGTTCGGTGAATCCATATATTGCTCTTGGTAAACTGTATACCAGAGATTTCATAACATTGACATTTTTTAATCACGTCTTCAGTCTTTAACTCTAGTACAAATATATTGATTAAACAAACTTGGATTATTTGATTTAACAGAATTTATAGTTTGAAATATCTAAGGTTTACATCATATGGTTGAAAAGATATAGAGAGTCACATTTTTTTAGACCATCCTAAACCAAAGGTTTACTGGTTATGGTTTCAGCTCGCTTAAAAATATATAGATTTTTATCTTAAAAGTTATAAATCTTAAAGGTCTTACATAAATTTAAATACTACTTAAACCCCTCAAGCTAGTAACTAAAACAGATTAAGCATTAAATGAGTGTTTTAGGAGGATTCAAGATTTATGCATTTAAATTCTATTTCCATTAGTTTTCAGCAAAAACTTAAATATTCACAATGTTTAAGAAGAATAATAATAATTATAAGATCTTTTTATTTTTAAATAATTTTCAAGCGCAATTTTTTCAAAAGCTCTTTAAATTATGATGATTTGAAACTTATTAAAAATTTAAAATAATAAATTGTAACAAAACTGAATACTTGAAAGTGGAATTTGGGCTTCTGCATTAAATATAATTTCGAAATAATGGTCTTAATAATTTAGCAATGAAAGAAATAAGTTTAAGGTTGCAAGAAACATGGATGTTAGAGAAAAGACTGAATAAGTTTACGGTTGTAAGAAACATGGATGTTAGAGAAAAGACTGAATAAGTTTACGGTTGCAAGAAACATAGATGTTAGAGAAAAGACTGAATAAGTTTATGGTTGCAAGAAACATAGATATATATATATATATATATATATATTCAGTATACAATTTTACTTTTTTTCTAATTATATACTTCCCTACATATCGTAGCAATCCTTTAAAATATTTAAAATATCTTTTATCAAAATTAAATTTAGAAAAACACTTTTAGAAAATAGCAGACAAAATTGTTAATCGCTCTGAACCTATTCACACTTATTTAACCAACAACTGATAATGGATTTTGGATGGATATTGGAAAATTATGAAAACTGAAAAGATTTAAATTCGTCACACAGTTCTTCACTTCTTTAATTTGTAGTTTTGTTTTTTAATAAAGTTCCTTTCGTCAAAAATCCATTATATTTCAGATATTTTGCTGCATTCTATTCTATAATTGAATCAATCAACCAATCAATCGATATTTCAAGTAAATGCCAAAAGGTCAAAAATTGAAATTCTATTTCGAAACAAAACTAATTTCGATTTCTCTAAAAATCTTCTTTATTCACAATGTGTTTGATAAAGGAAAATTTGATCCAAGAATATAAAAATCAAATTTAATTACTTTTGATAAAGTAAAATACAAGTTTACTGCTATAGGAGTTTAAATATGAAAATATTATGAATCCCAAATATGAAATAACAGTGTGCAATAATATGCGTTGAAATACACGGTTTTAATACGTTTAATGATAATGAATTCGTGTTATTTTCAAAAATGTTCAAACACGCAAATCCGACCATTTTATCAGAATTAACATCTTCACATTCATTCCCTCCCCTTCTTCTCCACCCTTCCTATCCTCTTTACCCCCCTCCACCTTCCTTTCTTCTCCACCCCTCCTATCCTTTTTACCCCCCTCCATCTTCCTTTATTCCCTTCTCCACCCTTCCTATCCCATTTACCCCCTTTCCTTCCCTTTTATCCTTTCCACCTTTCCTTTATTCCCTTCTCCTCCCTTCCTATCCTCTTCACCCCCCTTCCTTCCCTTTTATCCTCTCCACTCTTCCTTTATTCCCTTCTCCACCCTTATATGCCCCCTACCCAATCCTGATTTTTATTTTGTTCTTAGTCGCATAATTTTCTTCAACAAACTTTTCCGTTACTGAAATATTCCATCATTTTTATTTTGTTACTTATTCAATCCTCCCCTTTTTATACTCTCAATAGATGAGACTAAGTAGACGACTTGAAAAGTTTAAATTGAGATGTCTGCACCTTGAATGTGATCTTTAAATGGATTATTCAAAAATATGGCAAAAAAAATTTTATAGTTTCATGAAATCCCGAATGTAAGGAAACAGAACAGTATTAGTTCTTCTGTACAGTCGTCTCTGTAATCTCATGCTTATGTGGGCAACCCCTT